TTCAACCTTCTCCAAGTTTTCAACGTGAAATATGTGCGTTTGTTGTGCTTTTTCTTTTCCCGTAATTTCATGTCTACTTAATCTCATTTTTACATTCTTTATTCTTTTTTGCTTGTATAAGCTTCACATGAATAATAACGAGTATTCAGTAAACCAACCTAGTGTCAAAATTGTGTGGAGTTGCAGTGGGCTCCATTTTACTTATAGTGCATGCTAACTATCATTTTGCTGCCAAAAATGTGACAAACAAATTTAATCTGTTTCAGTTGCAACATTTTATTTGCTATGTTTTTATTAGAAAAGTTCTGGTTTTCCTTGAACTCTGGAAATTGGCAACGAATGGTCGTTTTTTGATGAAATAATGTGGAAAGCGCATACAAGTTGCGTTTAATGGATTCAAAATTAATCTGAAGTGATAAGTCACTTTACAGCAGTATAAGGTTATTTTTTCTATTTGATTTCAGTATTAAAGTCAGTTTCAACGATCTATTCGTCTTTGAAATTGATTCCAATACTGAAATTAATTTCAGAATGACTTATAGTGCTGTGAACTGATCTATCACTGTGCAAGGATTCTATGCAAATGACTGACTTATTTCAAAATGTAAAATAAATGATTTGTCGGATACATTTCAGATGAAGCACCAGTAATTGCGTCACAGGAAAGATCTACTCAAAGATTATCAAATAGCAGTGCTGATGTAAGCTTTCGTTTTTCTTTCTTTCTTTCTTTAAAATTTAATCCAACAATTGAAATGGGGAGACTTAATAAATAAAGATAGCCAATAATTTTTATATATTAATGATGCATTTTGATAAATTGTTCAAGAATATATATGTGGTGATGATAGTATTTTTGTGTATTTTTTCAAATAGAAAAAACTTCTGTGGTTGTGAATATGTATTATAAGATGAAATCTAAGAAATAAGATAGAGGGAATAATTTTTCTTTAACTTTCAATTTTGATTATCTGGAACTAATGGGAAAGCTGAATTTCTCAGTTATAAAATAATCGATGTAATTTATTGTAATAGCATTCGCAACGTAATGAAAAATATACTATGAACATTAACAACTCGTTAAATCTATTCCAGATACAAAAAAATACTCTTGGTGTTACACTGGATCGAGCGAAAAGGTATGGCAGTATGAGAGGTCAAGAATTAATTGAAAACGTTGCGAAAGTTGCTGGACGAGCGGTTAGTAATATTAGTTGGATCAGTAAAAGCTATGAGTAAAATACAACTTTTCGTCGTCATCTAATTAGTGGAGTGATTGACCACAGAAATTTAAACTTAGTTCTTCGGAGTTTAACGTAGTTTATTTTATCATTATTCTACTATTGAAGTTGTTCGGCGAGATGATTTCGCACTTCGCCTTGTCAGATTTCGAATGCTTCTACTTATAATTGCATTTCTTGTAATATTCTACCTTTGTAACAGGCAGTAATTATGAATTTTTTTAATTTATGCTCTTTTAGTTCACGCCATCCTTATCAGCTTCGGAAAATCCTGTAAGTGTAACACCAACTCGAAAACTGATTTCTCAGTGGGAGGTAAGTTGTTCTCAGTTTGCAACTTACTTTTTCTGAATCCTTATGAAATGACTTCATTCTCATTTTTATCTCACCTGTTCGAGATTTTTATTCTTTACAGTCTTTCAGTAATCGACAGATTTCTAATTTAATTAGACCGGTTTGGTTTCTTTTAGTCCAATTTATTTAAAGAATTTCGGAGTAATTTTTCTGATGATATTTGGTTTAGAAACATTTTTCAAAATATGTTTTGTTTTAGAAAGATGGTGCAGACCTGGGGAAGATTCAGGCAGAGTTGAATCGTCTTTCGAAATGTTTGGCACAAGTTTCTGGTGAAGATGAAATTATTTGTTCACAACTCATGAAAGCAAGTTAGCTTTTATTTCATTATTTTATACTATAGCATTTGCTTTTGATTTTCTAAAAGAAGATTAAAAGAAACAGTTGGATTTCTGGAATTCTTAATTTTGCAGAAGTTTCATCAGAAGAAGAAGAACGTTTGTTACAAGAACATATGAGATTATTGACAGAGAAAGATGCCATTGTTAGACGAACGGAATACTTTAATGTTCTGGAGCAGTTACGCGAGGTTGAAGATGAAATAACAAAGTTGCAGCATGAATTGGGTTCTGCTTCTATTATTGACCGTAAGTTCACCGGTCGTTTGTGTTTTGATTTAATTTTGATGAAATTAGATTTTGAATTTCGTTGTTGCCTTGTTAGAATCATTTGTTTCTCCTTGCCAGGCTCTTTATATATCTTTCTCCAATTTTTGTTTAATTTGGAATGATTTTGACCGATCTGCGCCATCCGTAGAAAGACTGAATCCATTAAATCGTTTCACTCCAGAGTAAGAACATTCAAAAAAGTATTGCTTTAACATATTATACAAAAAAATATTGCTTTAACAATACTTTAACAGTTTACTTTTATTGTAGAAGTTGATAAAACAGAGGACGACAAACAAAGAATTGATAAAATGATGGATGATTTGGTTGCGCTGGTGAATAAAAAAGATCGCCTATCACAGAAATTGATAAGCCATGAAGCTGAGTAAGTTTGCCGGATTTTTTCTTAAATAACTACTGGCTGTGTTAAATTTTTCCTCCTCGAAATGAAAATGTTATTTTTTTAATACTGATCACATTCAGATAACTATAGCATCGAATTGTTGTGTCAATGTGCCAGACGGTTTATGATATTCTTGTTATAGTTTTTCCGATTTATTAGCATTGTTTGAGGAAGTTCCCTGTGATGATTTTTCGTAAATTATTTACGATGATTGCTATTTGTCCTCTTTTTTCGACTATTCTGGTTCTTTTTTGCATATATTAACATTATTTTATAGCCTTTTGATTCTCTTACAGTGTTGTAAGTTATAAAATAAAATAATTGCAGAGATGAAGAGATAGATGAAAGGGATCGATTAACTCTAGAAGCAGCTGCGAACTTTTCACGAAGCTCCGAACAACCTTTATCAGCTTCCAAGAGGATAATAACCTGGATTCGATCCGAAATTACTAGTTGAACAAGGAAAAGAAAGAAAAAGCGTGCAAAATTGTTCATGCTTTTCGTTTTTTTCCGTTATTAAAATTTGTTTTTATATTGCTTTCATGATAAGCGGCTTATTCCAACAGCTCTTTTTTGATATATTAATCATTGTATTATATTGGAAATTAACTATCCGCGGCATCGATTACCATTTGCTGAGAAGTGATCTTGAGTTGGACTTTTCATATTCAAATGACTATAGTTTAAGCCAGTTTTCTTCCACGAAATTAAGCTGTTAGAAAGCAGAATGTCTCGTATTATTGATAATTGGAGTTAGTTTTGTTTAAAAATTTGACAGACATGCATGTCGATTTATCTAAATGGTAAAACTGTCGTTAATAAACCTGAGTATATGTAACAAATGAAATTTAGAAAAAGTTATGCTCAGATGCCAGAAGAAAAATTTCTAAAGTACAAACAACTTCTATGAGCTTTTAACGATTCCAAATTTATTTGGTTCTTATATTTAAAATTTGATCGATAATTTTGAATTTAAATCTCTAAATCGTTTAAAAATTTTTTCAATCACTTTAAATGATATTCTGGCTAATTATTTTTCGATTTTCTCGATTGTCATATATAAATTAGACTGATTAGATCTTTCATTATATTCTGTACTATTATTTCATCTTAAATTGTAATATCCTGATGGAATTTTTTTGATTACACATTTCGTCATACTAGTTCCTCTCGGAGAAAGATGATAAATCTTGGACGGGTAAGAAACGTGAACATTTTTTTTTTTTTTGTCTTTTCGAAGCTAATACTTCTAAAATCATCTGTACAAATAATATCTCATGTAGTGCTATGAAACTGTTGCAATCTTTTGAAGTATTTCGATCATCTCCTACTTATTTGGTTCTGTATGTTTCATTTGTCGTGCTATCGCGGTAGGAAAATGCATCGTTCGAAAAGAACTCACATGCTAATCGTCATTTCAGTCGTTTGATAATTTTTAAATAATTTTAAGATTCTTTAAATTTAATTGAAATACTACAAATGCTTAATCATAAATCTCTTTTTTTTCCTCTGTAGGATTTTCATCTCTTTCTTTGATCTCTGTAGTAATTTTTGTCTAAATTGTAGTGTTTTTATATCTGTAACACTCACAATAGTTAGTTGTGTATTTAACTCAGTTTACCTATGTTTTTAGGCACGACTGGTTGATTTGTTCGATCTCGCCAATATTCGTTCTTTTTCGAGCTTTTTTTTTCTTCGCATTGTTGGGTTACTTTGCTAACCTGGATGAAAATTATTTTAAAATGCTGTGTGAAAATGATTAATACAGCAGCATAAAGCATTGAAAAGTATATAATTAATTTAGTGTTCTCCAACTAACCGTTTTATTATAATTTAATTTGTAAAAAATAAGCATCATTTTGTGAATCATAGAATGTTTTAGTTTGAAATTTGAAAGTAATATGAGTAGAGCATTTTATAAAATTTTAGAATGTAAAATTGTAGAATATAGCAATCAATAAGTAATTATTAACCAACTTTCAATGTTACCAGAACACAATTTATCTGTTCAAAAAAAAGCTATTCACTCCTTCTTTATCAAAATTCTTGCTATATTAATTCATACTTGTATTTTTACTTTTTTTCTGCTCTTTATTTGTATTTTACTGCTTTTATAGCTGCTTTTGATTTTTTTTCTCACAATGTCAACTTTTGTATAGCTCATCCTTTTTCTTTTTTTCCTATTCCAATCTTCCATTTTCATTTATATCACATCCAAATTGTATATTTCTCGTTCTTTCTACTATCTTTTGCTTCTTAAATCTTTGCTTGTATTCTTTTCCATTTAAATATATGTAATTTTGTAATTAAACGACTCCATTTAATCATCCACAAAACATAAAACGAAATGGGTTGAGAAATAAATTCATTAAAATAATTTACAACTGTAATGAATACATATATGTAAATATTTATTATGATGAAACAGTAAGTAAATTTTTTATCAATAAAACTTGCAATTTTTTAATTGGATAATTTAAAAATTGCTTGCATTATTTTTCTTAACATTTAAGCAGATAAGAATTACATATACTTCAAAAGTATCAATTCAAAAATTGTAATATGCTAAGAAGAATTGTAGCTTTAAGTCATCGAGTCAGTAAATTTGATTTTTAAAATTTCGAGTAAAATTGAATAAAGTTTTGCTGATAAATTTTGCTTATTTAAACATTTAAATGCGTGTATATTCGGTAAAATCATGTAAAATTGAAATTGAATTAAATCATGAATTTACTTGTTTGACATGAAATTTTATGTTTTTCTTTCCTCTTAAACAATTTTTTTTCCTTAAATTTTAATAAATAATCAATCATATTATAGTTTGGAACATCATCAGCTCGATCGATCATTTATTTTACAATGCATCCAATGAAGCCTAAGGCATTTTTCTCTGTGTGCGTCGGCATCGCAAATGAGCTTTTTGCTACAGATGTCAGCCACTCAGTCTATCAATTCATCTCTCCATCCATCCATTCATCCATCCATTCTATTCACCTCTCCGTCTATCCATTAATTAAGCTTGTTCAATTACTTGGATCGATCATTTGATTATCATTAATGCTCCTCCTATAAGCTTACTTAAACTTTCAAATAATATTTTTCTTTCTCTCATTTTCATTTCTTCTTTTCTTTTGACATTTTTATAACTGTGATATTTTATATTGAATTTTTCTGGAAGGCATTGATTTTATCAATAAATACACTAACTGATAAATTCGCTATCGCTATCGTAATGAAGAATTATTGCACATCTTTTTGAATACAATGAATTGGAAAAAAATAATAATTA